GCCACCCTGAAACTGGGATCCTGGGGGGTGCGGACATGGCACCAGCTTAGAATGAAACATAGATGAGGATTAAGATAAAGGAACTGCATCCTCATTAAGTGATTCAACTAGCTGCTGAAAGTGCTGAAAACTGAGGGTTTAATATCATTTAATATCTCAGTTCTGGATGGAGTAAGCAGGTTGGATCTGCCCCTGGTTCAGTTCCTGGGTTATTTTTTAAGGACCACAGTAATGAGGTGTCTGTCATGTGTAGACAGCTCTGCCCATAAACTACATGTTCTATCAGAATATCACTTTACTTGCTGGATTTTCATTATGGAAAAGTGCAGCAGAAGGAGTAAGACTTGCTTGCTTGCTTAGTTTCTGCATTCCTGTGGCAGAAAATATAGAGAGGGAGGTGTTGCATTTATAGTGTAGAGCACGGACATGAAATCACCTTCTAAAAGGTGGACATTAACATCCATAAATTCTAGGATGGTGGGAAAAGAGACAGATAGAGTATATGTCAGCACTGGAGTCCCCATGAGATATATAAAGCCAGAGGGTGACTTGCTTCTATACCCAAGAACAAAAATGCAATATGATACAGCTTACCCATTTTTCTATATGGTGGGTGTATGTTTACTTTTTTGTATATTCCTGTAATTTCACTTGGTGATCCTGCCATTAACACACTTCCTGTCCTAGTGTGACAAGGCTCACTCATTGTACTGCATCACTACAGAAGAAGCAGCATTGTCACCCTAAGACTGGACTACAGAGCACCCCCTCTTTCCCTATCTCCATAACATTGGAGAGTTTTCTGTAGTCCACAGAGAGAATCAAGAACAATGCTAACAGAATAGGCACAGAGCACAGGAAGTTCGCTCACTAGATTTCAGGCAGGATCAACGTGTATCAAATATAAAACAATGTACAGTATTTAAAGTGTCAGTAAACCCATCTACAGCTCTGTTGACATATAGGTTGGGAAGATCAACAAAAAAGTAATCAATCTCTAATCACACACTATATGATCAAAAGTTTGTGGACACCTGATAATCTCACATACTATATGGCAGATAATACTGTATATGACACCCCCTCCTAAATTTGAGTGCAGGTGTTTCCAATGAAGGTTTTTGTTCATGTTACAGCATACAAAGAAATATTAACTGCTTAAGGACCGCCCTATAACAGATATACTGCTACAGTGCGGCACCTGTGCGCAGAATCACATATATATATATACGTGATTTTGCATTTCCGGGTAGGGAGTGCGCGAACGCCCTACCTACGCCGCCATACGGGGCCGCAGATGTCCACCACCGGGTGCCAGCTGGTAATGACCCGCCGGCGCCCAGTAATTACCGAGTAAATTCCGACAGGGAGGAAGATTGTTTTGTTTACAAACAATCATCCTCCCTGTCAGCTCGAGCACACTGCTCGGGATGGCTGTGCACAGTACAGCCATCCTAATCAGTGTGCTTACAGTGAAAAACACACACCCCGCCCCCTAGTAAAACACTCCCAGTACAAAGTTAACCCTTTGATCGCCCTCACATTCCTGCCCAGTGCCATTAGTACAATGTCAGTGCTTTTTTTTAGCACTGATCACTGTATTGGTGTCACTGGGGTGTCAGTGACACCAAGTTAGTTCCCCCCAGTGTCAGAATGTTTGCTGCATTGCCGCCATTACTAGTTAAAAAAAAAATCCAGTATCTATACTGTAAACGCTATAACTTTCATGTAAAACCAATTAATTTACAAATGTTGGGATTTTTTTTTAGCAAAGACATGTAGCAGAATACATTTTGGCCTAAATTTATGATGAAATTAGATTTTTAACATTTTTTTACTGGACATGTTTAATAGCAAAAAGTCAAAAATATTGTTTTTTTTCAGCATTTTTTGCTTATAGCGCAAAAAATAAAAAACGCAGAGGTGATCAAGTACCACGAAAAGAAAGCTCTATTCATGGGAAAAAAAGGACGTAAATTTCTTTTGGGTGCAGTGTTGCATGACCGCGCAATTGTCAGTTAAAGTATCACAGTGCCGAAACACAAAAAAATTGCCTGGTCATGAAAGGGGTTAAATCCTCAGGAGGGCACGTGGTTAAACAACTGTGTGCTTCCAACCTTGTAATGACAGTTTTAGGATGAGACTGTGCCCAAGTCCAGAATGATATGGTCTGATGAGCTTGGTGTGGAGGAGTCTGAGTTGCCTTCACAGAGCCTTGATCTCAACCCCATTGAAAATCTTTGGGATATACTCAAACGCCAATTGCGTGCCAGACCTTCTCATTCAACATTCGTACTAGACCTCACAAGTGCTCTTTTATACTAAATGGGCCAAATTCCCACAGACATGCTTTCCATGGAACCTGGTATAATCCCAAAGTGTGGTTCAGTTGTGTATCAATGCTCATAGTTTTGGAATGGCATATTTAACAAACTTGTATATTGTAGGTGTGATGGTCAGGTGTCCACAAACCTTTGATCATATAGTGTATTTCAAGTAGGATAAAGTCCTTTTATTTCGATTTTTTTTCTATTTAGGTTAATCGCCTCCTTCTCCATTCTGCACATCCTCTCTGTGGACAGGGCTAAGCCATAGCATATCAGGTTCCCCATGAAGTCGCTGTTTACATATGCTGGTATGTTTGTGTTGACATGATCTGGGATGATAGACTCTTTCCTCTGCCCTCCATTTCTCCAATTCCTCAGCATGTGATTGATATACAAAAAAATGGAAGAGAATATATATAAAATTGGCACTGGAGGAGTGTTAGTTATAATTAATAAAAGCCCATGTAGACATCCAAAAGAATGAACTCAATGCAGCATCTGTGGCAGCATCCTTAAGATTAAAGCTGGAACTCTGTGAGTATAAAAGAGACAGAGGGGTACCAGACTAAGTGCAGCATAAAGTTAATGGGATTTATTGAACACATACAATAAGCAACTCACTAAAAGGTAAAAAAAGGCAGGCATATCTACAAGTCATACGAGTGGCTCTCCACCTGGTTCCTGATTCCTGGCGGTCAGGGTAGTCTCCACGTAGCTGAGCTGTGAGGCTGGAGCTTCCAGGAGTGGCGCGGTGGCATGGAACGCAAGATGGCGCCGGACTGGACGTAACGTGAAAACATAGAAGTGGGCGGTAACACATTTTTAAGCTACTGCTTCTTCACACCTCCAAAACTTCAAAACGCGTTACTGCCCACTTCTACATCATCACGTTTCATTGTTGACGTCACGTCCGGTCCAGCGCCATCTTACATTCCACGCTGGCTATCATGGCGGATGGCCGCTCCTGGAAGCTCCAGGCCTCAAAGCTCAGTTACGTGGAGGCTACCCTGACCGGCGGGAAGCAGGAACCAGGAGGGGAGCCACTCATATGACTTGTCTGCCTTTTTTACCTTCTAGCGAGTTGCTCATTGTATGTGTTCAATAAATCCCATTAACTTTATGCTGCACTTTGGTGTTCATTTTGACAAAGAGAATAGCTGCGATTCAGAGGATCGCAGCTATTCTCTGGTCATTCACAGTTTATGACACTCAGGAGATCAGTGGAGAACATGTTCAGCCCTTCGCTGGAGATCTGTGTTCTCCCTCCAGATTCTCCAGCCCAGAGCTGGAGAATCGGAGGGACCGCAAACTAAGGAGCGATAATTTACCTCTGTTTAGTAAACTGATCTTTTACTGTAATCTCATGAGATTATAGTAAAATCAGCCGTTTTCCAGCGTTTGTAGACCATTCTCCAGCGTTTGTAGACCGTTCCCCCTTCGTTTGGAGGACTGCTTCATAAAAGGCATTCACGGAAGCAGCGATCATTTACCGCTGGTTCATAAACGGACACCTTAGTCTGGTGCCCCTCTGTCTCTCTTATATACAAAAAAATGAACTGCCACTGTATTTATAAATACCTGATAGTATACTATATCCCACAAGGTGATTAGAAGTGTGCTGTCAGGTCACCGAGGGGTGCGATTGGCTCAGGTTATCAAAAATGGGAGGGACCAGGAGGCTGGTGACCCAGGGTTGCTATGAGGATAAAGTCACAGGTATGTTGAAGGTGAGGGGAAGGGAATAGGCTGCTTGAGGCACAATATTGGAGCATGTGCAGATGGTGGCAATGCTGCAGAGGGAAGATCAGCCTGCAAAGTGTTGCCAATGGGAAAAAAGGAGTACAATCTTCTGGCAGGATCACCAGGTATGTACTATTTACTGAAATGGTTTCACATCACACCGAAACGGACAATTTTATTTTGGAGCCTCAAATGAAAAAAAAAAAAATTTTGGGTTTCCTGACTCTTTGATTTTATAATAAACCAACCAATTGGGAATGAATAAGAGAAATTCATTGTTTGGTTTATGTACGGTGTGACACTTATCACATCCTGCTGTTACTGTGTGTGTTAGCATTGATTCTCTGCATGGATTACTTCTCTGCAGGCTTTTTTGGCATGTCACACCTGCCTTTTCACAATCTACACCATTGTACAGGGTTGCTTAGGCCCCATTCACAATAGAGTTGAGCATGGAAGGCTTTTCTTTGTGCAGAATCATGCCTTTTTGGCCACATAGACCCTAAAATGGGAGTGCCTGATATATATTCATAAACATACGTTTTTCACACTCTCCCATTAATCTATTTGGGACCAAAAACATGCCATTCTGCCCCAAAAGAAGATCATCTACTATTCCAAGCTTCAAGCTATAAGGTGACAAGCGAAACAGTGCTCAGATGTGCACAGGCCCATTGAGAATAATGGAATTCTTCAACTTGAGCATTGTCACTGTTTAGGAATCAAGCAACAAACCGCTCAGGTATGAATGGGGCCAACTGTTTTTTTTCAAAGGGAAGCAGCCAATCAGAATTCACCTTTAATATTTTGACTAAGGTCCCTGTGTACTGTATACTTATATGTCCTTGATGTTATCACTGCCTATTGATTCAGATATCGAGTAGTTCACATTACATTTTTCTTTCTGAATTTCAGGCAGACAAGAACATAGAGATGTGCCAGCGGGAGGCAGAGGAAGTGACCGTGTTAATGAAAAATAATGTGGACAAGGTTTTCGAGAGGGAAGGGAAACTGGCAAACCTGGAGGTTCGCTCTGAAGAACTGAAAAGTATGGTACGTTCATATGAACAGCCTTATTACCATAATACAGGATTGTGATATATGGTAATTATTACCTATTACTTAATAATTATCAAGCCAAACCCATGTTTGGGACAAGCCCAGATCTAATTCCTCCAAAATGTACGCATTGGAGAAACGTATTGCACACACAGCCCACAGCCAGGTCTGCTCTGATATACAAGTGATCTGACATCTTCACAAAGTATGCTTCTTATACCTGTTTTATAATGTTTAATCCATACTTTATGATGATCGCTACCTCTCTCATAATGTTTAATCCATACCTTATGACGATCGATACCTATCTCATAATGTTTAATCCATGCCTTATGATGATCGATATTTATAATGTTTAATCCATACCTTATGACGATCGATACCTATCTCATAATGTTTAATCCATATTTATCTCATAATGTTTAATCCATGCCTTATGATGATCGATACCTATCTCAATGTTTATTCCATACCTTATGACAATCGATACCTATCTCATAATGTTTAATCCATACCTTATGATAATCGATACTTATAATGTTTAATCCATGCTTTATGATGATCGATACCTGTCTCATAATGTTTAATCCATACCTTAAGATGATCGATACCTACCTCATGAATGACAAGACATGAGGAGGTTGGAAAGTTGAACTAGTTTTGTCTGGTTAACCATTTGCATATCAGTATGAATATATCCCAGGCCTGTATATACCCCTGTATTATCAGGCTATTTTTCAGTGACCTGATGGTTTGACTGACAATTACTCATTCATGCAACACTGTACCCAAATGTATTTTATACAGTTCTTTTAGAGAGATAAAGCTTGTTCTGGTAGTATTTAAAGCAGTATATTATAACCTTTTTGAAATTACATAAATCTACTCATATTCAAATAAATGAATATAATAATAAAATTCGAAAAAATCAAAAAAATCAAAAAAAGTCCAATACAAAGTGTCCCAAAGAATGTCCCAATACAAACAAAAGTAGTGTCCAAAAAGTCCGGAAGTGACGAAACGCGTTAAGGGTGTGACGTCGTGACGCAAGCACGCAGACCGAAGTGTCGCCGCGGCCATTTTGTGGGTTGTCAACACATGGCAGATCGCATTTGTTTGATAGAACTCATACGAGAAACATGTTGGAAGCTGGATTAATGAAGTTTTAATGTAAGTGGCTATTAAAAATTTCTTAATTATACCTTGAATATGAGCCTTGAGACCCTTCTTGTCTTTTGAGGACCTTGGAATAATTTCTTTGAAGTGAATTAGAAGATCTCATTGGATACTGGTATATGGATACAGAGGGTAATAGTATTTAATACTATTGGTGTTGGTGGATACACAGTGTTGCAGTGTTCACAGAGTGGTCACAATTAACTCATATGTGCACGGAGGAGATATATATACAGTTCTTGCACAGTTTTTGTGTTTTTTGCACGGAGTGAATATATCATTTATAAAGGTAATGCACTAGATTATTCAAATTTGTTTTTTTTTGAGGTACCACGGGATGAAATGGAATTTCTTCCTACTGGAGGATAAAGTTTGAACATTGGGACAATTTTTGGACACTACTTTTGTTTGTATTGGGACATTCTTTGGGACACTTTGTATTGGACTTTTTTTGATTTTTTTGAATTTTATTATTATATTCATTTATTTGAATATGAGTAGATTTATGTAATTTCAAAAAGGTTATAATATTGTGTTACTTTCTGGGGAGAAAGTGTAACTTTTTGAGGGGTTTTGGGGGAGGTGGTTATACATATACTTAAGTATTTAAAGCAGACCTTTAGCCTAATTGTGAAGTTGTGTCACCCTGCCTCATTCCCCCGTACCTCTCTAATTTTTTTGTTTTTGGAAAGTACTCCATTTGTGCTGCACAGCAGCACTTCTGTGTTTATCACCTAGGAAAAAAGCTCTCCCTGCCCCCCTGAGCGTGCGCTAATGTGCACCAGGGCTCAGGTCCAGAGAGAACCCTGCGGTACATCTGCTAATGTGCCAGTCCCTCCAGCCAGTTCTTCCCGCTTATGCACAAATACTTCTATCAAGGTCGTTCGAAATCTTCCTGGTCTTTGCGCATGCACAGAACATAAACTGTGTGCGCGCAGATGTGCCGTTTGGCTCTGCCAGGCTGGGAAGAACCTGTTGGCACATCTGTGCATGTGCCATAATGGTGGCACCTGAGGGGGCGGAGCCACCAAAGGAAGACATTGAATTTTAGTTTTTTCTTACTGTTTACAGGAAAAAAAGACCAAAAAATATGGAATTACCTACATTTATCTTTAATTTCTTTAACTTAAAAAATGACCACAATCACTGATGGACAGTGGCACTTTACCCCCCCCCCCCCCCCCACTTCCACCAATTTTGCAATCACTGTTAGTCAGTGGCACTTTAAACCCCCTTCCTGCTAAGTCCTCCTTCTTCCATAAATGTCTGTAAACACAGAAAGTAATTACACTTAGTACTGCTGTAATTCATTCACAATGATCACAAGGCACAGAGCCACACTGATTGGCTCTGTACATGGTGTCTGTGATCTGCGCTGTCTAATGCCAAGTCAATCACATGCATTTGGATTCCTGTGCATATTTTTTGCAGCCTTGTTTAAAAACAGTTCTCCAGAAAACGGAGTTCACCTCCCCGCCATTTTTCTACCATATGGCTGTAGGTAAGTGGTTAAGCTCGGGCAATGACCTAGCGAAGGAAAGTGTTGAAACAGTGGAACAAAAATTAAAGTTTCCATGTCTGTCAGCATGTGACTTCATAAGTTAATTTTTGCATATAAGTTTTTTTATTGTGAATATTGTGTTATACTGTGTGACCTATATAGAAGTACAAATGCTGATTTAAAGACTTAATTAAAGTGCATGTCTAGGCAAAACTTCTTTACTGCACAGACACGGTCGCTCATCCTAATATGACAGGTGTTCAGGTGTGGGTAAGCAGCACACTGTCTGCGTTTAAGGCCACTCACCCGTATCCGCTCAGCTGTCACATTAGGGCGAGAGGCTATGTCCGTGGGAGTGCTGCATATTAGTAGATTTGAATGGGCTGCCTACCTTCCAACTAGGGCCCATGTAAACGAGGCCTTAAACTTTAGAATGTAAATGTGATATACTGTATTGTAACTTACTAGTCCTTAGCCTGAAGTTTGCAAATTGGCCCTAGTATGTATATGTATGATTGTGAGTTAGGGACCTTAGATTGTACGCCCCTTGAGGGTTAGGGGCTTATATGAATGTACTACACACACACACACACACACTGATGGCACTATATAAGTACCTGTAATATTATTAATAATATGGTAGCTGTAATATTTTTCTTTTTTGAGGCTTTTGTGTCCTTCATTTTCACCTGGTGACCCTTGCCAGTAGCAAACGTCTTGCCCCAGGGTGACAACAGTCACTCATTGTACTGTATCTATGGAGGTATAGCTTTGTCACACTAGAAAAAGAAAAGTTTTGGGACTATAGACCCCCCCCAATAACACCACAACATAGAGGGGAGGGTTTCTGTAGTCCTTAGGGAGAACAATGGCAGGGATGATAACAATGGAAATCAGTGCAGTATTGTCTACTCACTGCAGGAAGTTAGAAGCTCATTGGTAGGCAGGCTCACAAAAGATAGACTAAGATATTTAACAGACCAAAAGGGGAACATTCATTGGTAAACTAGCCATACACATTTAGATTGTTTATGCAGGAATGGGTGCACAACCCTGAATACACACCATCTGCGGTTTGGACCATGCACCTGTCCTTGCAAGCCTGTCAAACTCAGATGAGCAGATGAGTTTGTACATCGGCTGCGTCTCAATTGACTTAGGCTAGCCTCACACCTATGCAGTTTGCGTTTGATCCATCTCTGCAGTGCGTTTGGCGTTTTTGCACATGCGTTTTTGCCTAGTGTTTTGCTTTTTTTTTCTTTTTCTTGTTCCTAGGCAGATTTAAAACGCCTCAAAACACAGCAGAAATGCACTACATGCTTTTCTGCAGTGTCTATAGAACCAAAAATGCAACTTTTTGCGTTAAAAAAAGTCCCTGACCATTTACAAAAAAAAACACCAAGTGGAAACGTGGAGATATGAACGTGTCCCATAGGAAATCATGTTAAATGGGCTGTAGTGCATTTCTGCAGAATGCTGCGGAAACCGCTTAGGTATGAACCTAGGGTAACATAGGCTGCCTACACACAACTCTATGCTGCTCCATAAATACGAAGAGTCCAGGGCATTCCATACAACAATGATACCCCCTTCATAGGAGGGTGCTGTGCTGAAACAGCAGATGGAACCACCAAAGCATAAGTCCAATGCAAGATACCACCAGCACCCTGTGTTCAGATAGACAGGAAACTTTAACGTCACCAACAGAAAGCAATGACGTTTGGAGGCCACTTAGGACCTCTTCCTCAGGCAGAAGTGATAGTGCCCAATGAAGAGCCCTTAGTGGCACTCGTCTACAATCTCGCCCTGCCAAACCTCCACAAAAGTCTGCATATGTCTCCCCAACCAAACAAGTGGTGCCCCCCTTCATTGTGAAGAGGACTTTGAGGAGTTTGAAGTTCATGGTTTCTTCTTGCAACGGGACTGGGGTTTGGGCTTAGAATCTGAGGCCTAAGATTGGCAAAGGGAATGCTTCTTGGAAGTAGAAGGGGCAGGTTTTTGAACCATAGGCTTAACCTTTTGTGAGTGGTAACAGACTACTATTACCCACAGTCCTGTTTGTTTATCAAAACATCAGAGTGCTGGTGAAATCTTGGACTGGATCCACGCTGCCCCAGACACAAAGTCTTCCATACTGTATAGGCTGGAGTGCTCATGTGAATGAGCCCTTAAGATGGCTATATACTAAAGAACGGGTGGCCCTGTCGTCCTCCTCCTGTCCAACATCCTCAATTGAAAAATTAAAGGAGTCAGGTTAAAATTTGTCAGCTAAACAATAGCTGCATCCAATCGGATGTAGCCGCTGTTCGGGTATTTAAAAGCTGGTAGGACCGGCTGTCGAAATACAGTGAGTATAGCAGGAGACTGGTCCACCCATGTTGTATAGTGTGGATGGAAGAATGTTTTTTTTTTTTTTTTGTTCACCTTACTATCTGTGTATGGCCAGTGTTTAGAGTTTACTTGAATTCTAATTTACGTAGAGTGAGTTTACTGCTCAAAGCTACACAAGGTTGCATTTCTAAGCTGGCCATAGATGGATCAAAATTCATCTGGTTTAACATCTAAATCTAAATTCCATCTATGCCCATTCCCACTCAACCAAAGTTGATCTAATGATTGACTTCTGTTGAACGGAATGTTGGAAAATCTTTGTATCTTTATTGATCACTGATTCTGGCAGTGAAGCAGTTCCACTGTCAGAATACAGTGGCACAGCATGGAGGATTCCTCCATCTTCCTCGATTGTGTTTTATATAATTGTTCTTCCTGCTGGCTGAGCGAAAAAAAAAACAAAAAAAAAAAAAAACAGTTAATCTGAGTAACCTTAGGCTGCATTCACACTGATCAGTTTTTGTTCAGTTGAAAAAAGAAGAAAAATGCACAAAAAATTCAACCCTTTAAATCCTATGGAGCTCTTCACACCTGTCCTTTGCGTTTCTAAAAATCCTGGTTGATGCATTTTTGGTGCATGTTTGGTCAGGTAAAAAAAACATGCACCTCTCTATTGAAATTAATGGAAAACACAGCAAAAATACACTATATTGCCAAAAGTATTGGGACACCCCTGCCAACTTTGTGGGAACAGTTTGGGGATGGCCCCTTCCTGTTCCAACATGACTACCCACCAGTGCACAAAGCAAGGTCCATAAAGACATGGATGAGTGAGTTTGGGGTGGAGGAACTTGACTGGCCTGCACAGAGTCCTGACCTCAACCCAATAGAACACCTTTGGGATGAATTAGAGCACAGACTGTGGGCCAGGCCTTCTTGTCTGACATCAGTGCCTGACCTCACAAATGCACTTCTGGAAGAATGGTCAAACATTCCCATAGACACACTCCTAAACCTTGTGGTCAGCCTTCCCAGAAGAGTTGAGGCTGTTATAGCTGCAAAGGGCGGGCCAACTCAATATTGAACCCTACGGACTAAGACTGGGATGCCAGTAGCCTCCCTGGCGGTATTCCCGAGTGTAGCTCGGGGTAATGTTTCAGTACCACAAGCGGTAACCCCGAGCTACACTCGGGCTTACCATGCGGTGCTGCTCCGGGATCCCTCGATCACTTACCTTGTCCTGCGCTCCCGCGATGTCCCTCCTGCAGTGTCCCCTGTATTGTCCTCCGGCAGATGGTGGCATCTGTCATCTGGGTTCCGTCCCCTGCGAGCGTCGGGACGTACGGGGATGGAACTGGCGGGAAATTTGAAAATGACAAAAAGTGACATTCACTAAAATCACATCGTAAAAAACATTACTGTATCAAACCATTTCACATACATTTTGTCCCTAGTGCTTTGTCCTGTGCCCTGCATGCATTTTTACTGTTCTTTCTGCCTGGAAACTGAGAAACGTCCATGGCATCCAAAAAGCGTCCCTATAGGTCAAAATCGGTTTTAGACCAGCTAGAGAACAGCGATAGTAAATTAGAACCTCTTGCGGAATTGAGTGATAATGATTCGTGGGGGAAATTCGTCATCAGACACTGAAAACAATTTTGCGACTTTGCTCAGTGATGTGCGAACCTGGCACTATATTTCAAATTTCAGTGTTTTTGGTTTGATTATATTATTGAATTACATTTCTTATTACATTATTATTTATGATTATTTATTAAGTTATAATTTATGATTTCGTGTTTCAAATTTTAACATACCCAAGATGTTTACTAGACTCTTGTTCGGACAGATTTCAGTGCGTTATTCCTAAAAATTACAGGCCTACAATAAAAAAAATACATATTTCCATGCAAAAAAATGTACCGCTTTGAGCACAGAAATACTGACATAATCAGACCGCTAGGGAGGTTAAAGCTCATGTACGTGTAAAGGCAGGCGTCCCAATACTTTTGCCAATAAAGTGTACATCAAAAACACAATTGGGTTGATTTACTAAATGAAAATAGACTGTGCACTTTCCAAAGTGCAGTGGCTTCGTATACGAGGTGAAGTATCACTTTGCAAAGATTACCCAACCACGTGCAAGGAAAATAAAAAAAAACTGAATTTTTGCTTGCCCAGGATTAGATGATGGAAGTCAGCAGAGTTTCTGCTCATTTACTAAGCTCTGGACCAACTGCTCTTGCAGAGTGCAACTGCACTTTGGAAAGTGCACAGTCTCTTTGCCTTTAGAAAATTAACCCCAATGCAGCTGTGGGAAGTGCTTTGTCCAGTCCAGAGATATGGAGGAAAAAATGCAATGCAAATGCATCAAAAATGCAAAAATGCAACGCAAATGCTGTAAAAATGCATATGCTTTTTTGGTACAGAACGGTGTGAAGGTAGCCTTATACTGTAGGCTGTATATTTGTCCCTCAGTGTGGCACTGTATACTTCTCCTGGCCGAGCTGGCAGTGATCCTAGGTCACTTCTTCATAAGTAACTTGATCTGATGAACATGCTGATGATACAAACAGTAACACCATTTCTTCTCTGTGCAGGCCAGCAACTTCCAGAAGACAGCCCAGACAGTGGAGCGTAAGACGCGATGGGAGAAATGGCGCTGGTACATTATTTCTGGAGTCATCGTTCTTGTGATTTTAATTATCATCATCATTGTTGTGGCCGTCTCGTTCAGTGGAGGTGGGGGGGACACTCCACCAAATCCATAATAAACTTGGGAAAGACTGGGATGACAGCTTTTCTCTTCCAAACATGAGACAATGGATACAAAGATATGACACAAAGGATCTATCTGCAAGCATGGAGCCTATATCCTCCTAGTCCAATGAGAACGTTACTTTTCATCAGCCAGATGACCAATCGACCTCTGAACATCAATCAGCCAACATACACAGACTTCAAGGCTGTTCTTTCATTGTATGTGTACAGATGATAGGGAAAACTCTGATAGGCACTGCCAAGAACTATACTACCCTACTGTGTGCTGCGCAGCTCATGTGCTCGGTACACCGCGGTATGCACAGTACTTGAAGCAACGTTCAGGAATTGTTCACAAGTGTTAAATGACGCCCCTCTCTCAATGTTCCGTTCCAATGTTCATTCATCTACTGCTGCATTCTTGGGTAGATTTATTAAAATTGGAGTGAAGCCATAGTATTGTTATAGTGTCTATTGTTGCAAGTCTGAATGCTTGTTTTATTAGAAATGTGGTTACTTGAAGCAACAGATCAATTTTGTTTGGACAATTAGAACCATGGCCTGGCAGTGCTTTTGCCCAGGATATAATTTCCAACAGGGAAAGTATCTACATGGAGTTTGTTTGTTGTCATTGAGCCAGTTTGAATTTTCCCCCACAATGGCAAAACCTGATTTTATAATTTGTTTCTGTTTTATCATTTGTTTTCTGAACAGATACGGCATGTACATTTGTTCTGTACAATGGGAGCAAAATCAGATGTTACTAGGCTATTTTTTCCCCAGGTTCAATGCAATTCATTCATATAGAATAGAGTGAATCAGGAAAATACCACATTATGGCCAGTAGTTGGATCTAATGGTCATAGGAAATAAATATTAATTTATTAAAATTGTCAGCTCCATCTGGTGGCAATAATGTGGTAATTTCCTGATTCACACTATTTTCCGAATTACTCCATTTTTAATGAATTAATAACATTCGACCTGGAAAGAAAAATAGCCCACAAACAATTGATTATGCCCCTATTCACACAGAAAAAATGTATATGCAGTTTAACAGGATAAATAGCTCTGCATATTTTTGTAGAAATTCACCTCTTAGCCCTGGTTCACATATGTGCGTTCCTGTGGGCCATGTTTTGCGTGGGCACGAGAGCCCATTCATTTGAATGGACTCCCGTGCCCCAGGACACGCAGGGAAGAAGTCTCTACACTTCTTTGGAAACCGCAGCCCGCACGGGAACCTCGGTTTTGAGTGTGGTTGCAATTTCCAGTGCGGGCGGCGTGCCTTTAGAATTAATGGCACCCACCCGCGGGTTCGCATTCTTCTGTGTGGGTGATGCGGCTGCATGGATTTCTCTGCGGATCCACAGCGGAACCACCCGCACAGATGTGAACCTAGCCTAATTGTTACTAGTGTGAATGTGTGAGTGGAAGACGCATTGATGTAAAAGTTGTCAACATATGTAAATAAATAATATCAAATTCAATAGTCATTAAGATTCATATTATTTGTTTGTCTTTCCTTTTATGTATAAATATTCTGTTATTCTGAACACAGACATGTACACTACTTTTTATATGCATTAGTATTATACTAAGCTATGGACACATTTACAGACTGTTGCTGCGTGATATCCCTCTTCCCAGAGGACATTTCCTGTATTTGGCCATACTGTGATACATCTGATATCTGTGCCAGCATCACTCAGTGTGCCGGACTGCATAACTGCGAATGGCGTCTCGCTGCACTGCACTGCTGTGTTGGAACCCCATTGCTGGCATTCCATTAAAGCGTCTGATGTTTGTGTACAGCTGATATGATGGGGAGAGACACAGGAGGCAAACAACGAATGAAGACAGGGACAACTTAGACTAATAGACAAACAGAAAACACATCCAATGTAACACAAATCCCCAAACACAAGTAGCTGAACATGCAGAAAATAGGCATCCAAAATAAAGACATTAGAAACACAAAAATGACAGACAAAAGCCCAAGTGGTCCATTGCGTCTGCCCTTTTTTTTTTCTTCTTTTTTTTTAATACGTTTTGTATTTTTTTTCCTTATAGAGCAGTGGTCTCCAAACTGTGGCCCAGGGGCCGGATGAGGCCCTTTGCTTGCTTTTATCCGGCCTTTGGGTCATTATTCCCCCCACTGTCAGCAACAGTAGAGCATAGTTCCTGACACTGACACCAACAATGGGGCACTAGTTCCCTCACTGACACTAATGAAGGGACACTATTCATCCCATCGATACCAAAGATAGGGCACTATTTATCCCACTGATATCAATGGGGGGGCACTATTCTTCCCACTGACACCAATGATGGGACACTATTCCTCCCACTGACACCAATGATGGGACACTATTCCTCTCACTGACACCAACGATGGGACACTATTCCTCCCACTGATACCAATGATGGGGCACTATTCCACTGACACCAAACAATGGAGCACTATTCTTTCCACTGACACCAACAATACAGCACTATTCCTCCCACTGACACCAACGATGGGACACTATTCCTCCCACTGACACCAGCGATGGGACACTATTCCTCCCACTGACACCAGCGATGGGACACTATTCCTCCCACTGACACCAGCGATGGGACACTATTCCTCCCACTGACACCAGCGATGGGACACTATTCCTCCCACTGACACCAGCGATGGGACACTATTCCTCCCACTGACACCAGCGATGGGACACTATTCCTCCCACTGACACCAGTGATGGGACACTATTCCTCCCACTGACACCAGCGATGGGACACTATTCCTCCCACTGACACCAATGATGGGACACTATTCCTCCCACTGACACCAGCGATGGGACACTATTCCTCCCACTGACACCAACGATGGGACACTATTCCTCCCACCAACAATAATGATGGGACACTATTCCACTGACACCAACAATGAAGCACTATTCTTTCCACTGACACCAACGATGGTGCACTATTCCTCCCACTGATACCAACGATGGACCACTATTCCTCCCACTAACACCAACAATAGGACACTATTCCTCTCACTGACATCAACAATGGAACACTATTCCTCCCACTGATACCAATGATGGGGCACTATTCTTTCCACTGACACCAACAGTAGGGCACTATTCCTAACATTGATACCAGCAAAGGGGCACTATTACTCCCCCTAATACCAATGATGGGGCATTGTTTACTCCCACCGACGCCAGGACACACACTATTCCTCTCACTGATACCAATGATGGGGCACTATTCTTTCCACTGACACCAACAATGCAGCACTATTATTTCCACTGACACCAACAGTAGGGCACTATTCCTAACATTGATACCAACAAAGAGGCACTATTTATCCCCCTAATACCAAGGATGGGGCATTAGTCCTCCCATTGACACCAATGATGGGGCACTATTCCTCCTACTGACACCAATGATGGGGCACTATGCCTTCCATTGATACCAGCAAAGGGGCACTATTACTCCCCCTAATACCAATGATGGGGCTTTGTTTACTCCCACTGATGCCAGGACACACTCTTCTCCCACCCGCTACAGTCCGGCCCCCGTAGAGTTTGAAGGACAGTAATATGGCCCTTTGTTTAGAAAGTTTGGAGACCCCCGATATAGAGTATAGATCTATGTTTGATGCTATTTACTGTTGACTGGCTAACTAC